GCGCCTGCGGTACGGCCTGTGTCGCACTCGCCGGCTGTGCGCTGCAGCCGCAGCGAGCCCTGCACTGGCACGGCACTGCACTGCACCACACTGTGTGGTGCCAGCTCGTGCTGCTCCACACTGCACCACATCGCATGGACACTGCACCACGGTGCATCATACTGCACAGTGTTAGCTCACATGGTTCACACCGCACTGCATTGCATGGACACTGCACCACACTGCATTGCACTGCCCTGCACCAGCTCACACTCCTCCACACTGCGCCATGTCACAAGGACATTGCACTGCACTGCAGCATACTACACTGCACCAGCTCACATGGCTCCGTACTGCATGTCATGCCAACAGTGCACCACACTGCACCTCATGGACACTGCACCACAGTGACCCACCACACTGCCAGATTCGTGCTGCACCATGCTGACACCACACCACACTGCTCCACGCTCACACTGTGCAACACTGACACTGCACTACCACACATTCACCCTGTACTGTGCTCTACCATGACGGTATGGCATTGCACTGAATCTGCTTGACACTGCGCCACACTGCACTGACCCTACTGCACACTGACGTCACGCTAGACTGCACCACACCATCCCCTGAACACTGCACTCACACTGACACTGCACTCACACCAACACTGCACTGACACTGCGCTCACAGTGACACTGCATCAACACTGCATTCACACTGACACCACACCGCACCAACATTACACTCACATTTGCACCACACTACACTGGCACTGCACTCACACCAACACCACACTGCACCAACACTGCACTCACAGTGACACCACACTGCACCACACTACGCTGACACTGCACTCACCAACACCACACTCACACTGACACTGCATTGACGCTGCACTCACACTGACACCAACACTGCACAGACACTACAGTCACACTGACACTACACTGCACCACACCAACACTGCATTGACACTGCACTCACACGGACACTGACACTGCAGCTCACTGCACAGACACTGCACTCACACTGACACTGCACTGCACCGCACCCACACTGCATTCACACCAGCACCGCGCTGCACCACACTGCGCTGACACTGCCCCCACGCTGACACCTCACCACGCTGGCACTGCACCACACCACCCCCGCACTGCACCCGCACTGCACCCACACCTCCCTGCACTGACGCAGTGGGGCTGCTGCAGGGCCCCAGCGCTGCAGGGCACCGCGCAGCGAGCACGAGGGACACCAGGGCTGCACTCGCCCGGGATGCAGTGCCGGCCCGGCCCGGGGACGGCGCCAGGCCACGCGGCCCTTCCTTAATAACACCACTGGCAGCTCTTCTGGGAGGAATAAATGAGGTTTTTTTGGTTAATTCCAGGTGGGGTGTTGCCACGCTGCATTTTCTGCCCCGAACTAGCGGCTCGCCAGGGCTGCTCACAGCTCGTCGGCCCCGTGCCAGTGCCCCGAGTTGGTCTCGCAGTGCGGGCGCTTCTCATCTGAAAGC